AGAAGATGTGGTACAACAACTCCGGATGGATAGGATCCGAGATGCGCAAAAAAACAGGAGAGCTGTGAACGACAACAGTTTCAGCAGCACTCAACGGCGAAGACACCGGCCCGGGAAGGTCAGCCAAGGAAGCCTCTCTACATGGAGAGGCACCCGAAGGCGCGACGGCGATCGAAGTCGGCTCTTTAGACGGTGGGTCAGCGGACGGTGGGTCAGCAGATGGAAGGGTAGAACCAGGGGCGATTGAAGGCGCTGGGGCGACCGAGGTCGGCTCTTCAGACGGTGGATCAGCGGACGGTGGGTCAGCATGCGGTGGGTCAGCATGCGGTGGGTCAGAACCAGGGGAAGACATGGCTGGACAGACACGAGTTAGAGATGAATGAGAAACAAAGGGGACAGTAAAGGACCTACGTGACGAAGGAAGTGAAGACATGCGCGTGCTCAATCCGTTGTACGGTTGAGCAAGTGCAGGGGGCGGCTGTGGTGAAGTGCTAATTTTGTGATGGGGAGGTCCCAGACTCCAGTTGGATTCGGAGTATAGGCCGTGGGTCAGGGACAGGGGACCAGAGAGACAGGGGCCTCAAAAGGGGAGCGACCGTTGGTGGAGGACAATCCGCAGGATTCGCCGAAGAAAAATCAGTATCGGGTACCGGTTAACCGGTACCAAAGGGAGTTGATCATGGCCGCTCATTGATCGACCTGGCCCCTCGTTGGTAGACCCGGGTCCCTCATCGGTCGACCCGGTCCCTCATTGGTAGACCCGGTCCCTCGTTGGTCGACCTGGGTCCCTCATTGGTAGACCTGGGTCCCTCAGTGGTAGACCTGGGTCCCTCATTGGTCGACCCGGTCCCTCGTTGGTTGACCTGGGTCCCTCATTGGTTGACCTGGGTCTCTCATTGGTCGACCCGGTCCCTCATTGGTCGACCTCGGCCCCTCATCAGTCGACCTCGGCCCCTCGGGGTTCAGCCACTCCGGACCAGTTAATACAAGGATCAGACTAGTCGACGCAAGGAATCAGAGCTTCAGGCAAGGATAGAGTAAAGGAGTTAAAAGGATAGGACTATATTAAATACTACTCAATTTGCGATCTACTTGGCAAGTCTTCGTCGCGCTGTAAAGATACTCTAGTCTGGCCACACGCCTGTTCCGGGGAAGGGATATATTTGGCCCCCCCGTTGAAGACAGGCGTGTGGTCAGACACAAGTGCGAGCTGAACCCCACATGGCACGACTCCGTCACCCAAGAAGAACTTGCTCTAAGCTACTCACTGTTCCGGGAAGGGATATATTTTGGCCCCCCGTCGAAGACAGTTGTGTAGCGAAGTTCAAGTGCGAATAGAGCTCCAGGATATATTTGGCCTGTGAGCTCGTTCGAGTAGCAACACCCCCCAAGACCCGCTATCGGAAGCGGTCTCCCTCACCTCAAGGTCCGGGAGCAACGTAAAGGTCAGGTGGTTAATACCCCTGAAACAGAAGGAAAAGGCCAGGGACGACAAGCTCCCTGAAGAATTTGGCTCTAAGTCCACTCTCGACAAGGTCGATCGAGTGGCCACCTACCGGCCCACCGAGTGAAGCATATCCACTCGAGGCCCCCCAGGTCTACCTCCCTCAAGGCAGACGTCTACATCCTCACCAAGTCTTCCGAAGAGTGCAACCCGCCAGCCGACGGGTACACAAGGTGAGAGAAGGTCCATACGCGGCATCGGGGTACCCCCTCCGACAGTCGGCAGTCCGGCACAGTGAGTGGTTTGGGGTCTCATCATACAATTTTGAGAACCCACTTCACCACAGAGGCCATCACACTCACTCGTAGTACATTCACACGCTTGCGAACGCTCCAAGACATTCATCAGATGGCCATCTGATGAACAAGCGGCAGGCATCTTCACGGTTCGATGCTGCCAGCTGACCCATGGCTCGTACCTTCTGAGCCATGTTTATCCTAGGATGACACCAGATTTGTCATCCAAGTCGACTACGATGAAATCATCATCGTACTTTTTGCCTTCAAGCGTATAGTAAACTCCCACTACACGTTTCTTTACTGTTACGGATGCGCCAGTTGCAAGGCGCACCGTCATCCTCGTTGGAGGGGTCTCGCGCTCAACATATTTGAGCCTACGATCATCTAGCGAATGGCGTCGAACAAAGTTGTTCGAAGCCCCACAATCAACTAGGGCGAGAAGTGACATGTTCTTTGTCACTTCGATCTTCAAGGTGATGAGGGATACCTCATCACTGGGAGCGGCAACACACAGTGACTGTGTGTTGGGAGCAACCCTCGTCAAGAGTCCCGCGAACTGTCTTGACGTTGCTGGATCAGTAGGGCGCTCCGCCCCTGACCCCAACCGTTTTTTGATGGTCCACCACGTTGTTGCGATTTTGCAGCAACGTGGGACCCACGTCTCTGGCCCTTCTTGGCAGACGGTCGATCGTCACTCCCAGTGTTACGAGACACTGGGCGTGGGGCACTACACTTATAAGCGTAGTGGCCCAACTTCTGACAGCGATTGCACTTTTGCAATCGCTTGTACCCTGTAGAGCGAGGTCGCTCGCTCTCTACATAGGAGAGGTCCATTGGTTCTGGACCACCGCCCTCCTGTCGTCTCGGTGGACGATAGGATCCCGAGTGGACGTTAGCCTGTTGTAGGCTAAAGTCCTCATGTTCCGCTGCAGAGATCGCTTGATCCAGCGATTCTAATTCCAAGCGGAACAGTTGGGTCTTGACAGGACCATCTGTCAGACCCTTGATGAACACAGTAACCTGCGTGTGTTCATCGATTGGGTTCAGTACGATACAACTAACGAGGTATCATACGTGATCGTCGTAAGCGTGTATATCACGCTTACCCTGTTTCAAATCCAGGAGCTCAGCCCGAGCCCTGAATTCAGCGCGAGGCGGTTCAAACGTGTGTTTGAGCCGCGCCTTGAAGACGTCATACGTTGGGAAAACGTATGGGTCGTGCAGTTTGAGCCCTAAGGCCCAAGCTTTGGCACGTCCTGCCAAGTTCGACATGGCGAACTTGACCTTCATCGCATCCTCATCGATGCGACGAGCCTCAATGGCGTCGTCGAGCTCGACGAACCATCTTAACAAAGAGTCGCTTTCGACTGCCTTGTACTTGGAGACATCAATCTTCAAGGACTCGGGTCGACGTGTATACGTCGACCCGGCAGCAACAGCACTAGCCTGCTGTTGTCTCAACAGTTCAGACTGTTGAGCACCCTGCTGCATCAACAAGTCAGCTTGTTGAGCGCCTTTTTCTCTCAACAGTTCAACCTGTTGAGAAGCTTGCTCCTCTAGCAAGGTGAGTTTCTTTACGACTTCGTCAAGTTCATGTTGTATGAACTTGGCGATGGTTGCATGTTGGTCGTCTCCGCTAAGAGACAGCAACATGGCACCAACGGCAGGGTTGCCGATGGTTTCAGCCATACGCTGAACCGCATTCCATTCGAGGTCACTCAAATGGCGGAAATCATCACGCGTTGCGTAATGACGTTCATCACCCGCTGATTCCATAGCGGGTGGTGCGGTGGTCGCTGAACGGACCACGAAGTGCTACCAGGTGTAATGGGGCACCCTCCGACTATACTGATTACAGCATCCATTGATTACAGTGAAAGCAGGTGCCTCAATTACCTCTCTTACACAAGAGGCAGAGGAAGCTTTACTTCTAAACGATACGCTTAGAAGTAGAGGAAAAGAAAAACTGTATTTACTATAGTTAACTATCGAATAAAACTAATCTGTTATAACCTATGTTGACTATATTAAACTACAACTATGTATGTTGACAACTTACCCTCCACTCATTGCGCGCGTCCATCGGTCATTGGTCAGCGCGTTGGTTGATATGATGGCCCATATCAACCAATAAGAGGGCATCTCCAACTTCAAGGAGATCTAGGAACAATATTATAAGAAAAGGTAATATTGTCAAAATATTATTAGTTATAATATTTTATGACACTTCATATAAGTGTCAATATTATGTAACGGACTCGCCCCGTTACACGCTAATTATCGACGAGCCTTTCTGGACGCTTTTTAACGGCAGGACAGGAGCGTTCCTCGCGCATTTTTTGCGACATCTCTTTTAAATTAGTTTGTTCACCATACTCATCTTACTAAGGTGTTTGCATCGGATGACAGCCACTGAGTTTGGACGAGATGCCAATACGGAACATCTGCATGTTAAGAATCTCTTCTACCAGACACCATTCCACTTACGAAGCAGGGAGACGGAAGACATATGGTCACAGCACCTGCCTACGCCTAGCAGCCGAAACGTTTTAGGATACTATCAATAACCAGCAGCCTGTACAGCACAATCGACAGAAGACATCTCCTTAGGTCATAGAGAACATTTTCAAAAATCTTGAAAACAATATCAGTACATAGACAGTCTTAAGCGAGTGTAAACGTGCTGTTAAGCAACTATGGAGTAGCGATTTGGTATGGGAAACGGAAAACAGAAAGTATAGAGTTTTTGTATGAGTGTGCCACGATGCTGCACGTCCACGGATTCTTGAATGGTAGATCGAGGCGTAAACCGCAACATGTTTCTCCTCGATCTACCATTACGTCTATTTTATTGTTAACTTACTTCTTCTGCGTGCGTGGCTGGGATAACCTTTCCTTGTGCCATTTTGCTCCGTTTGCTTCTTTTATTTTTATATGATCATTATTTTACTATGAGGAAACCTTTTTATCGTCTCAAACATCATACAGGATCACGACTTGTTTGGATACGCCGATTTCTATTATTTATTGTTTCATGTGTAGACCGGAGCCTAGAGTCCATCATGCTGCGTTTTTTCAGATGTGTAGAGATTTCGTGCTCTTTTTTACATGTGTTTTATGTGATGTCAATCCTTATTTTATATGGGTTCACGTAAATCCAACGCAACGTTGCTACAACCGCAACCTGTATTCTTCGTATTCTGCTCATTCCTAAATTCACCGCTTCCTGCACTCACCTTCTTCACACCAGACTCACAATGAAGGTCATCTCCACGGTTGTCTCAGCTTCGCTCCTGATTGGATCGGTAACTGGACTACTTGGCGGCACACCAGTTTCCCCCGACGGCGCTTCTGAGGACCGCCGCTTACAACAAAAAAGTTACACAACCGGCATTCGCATGGACATCGACCCTAAATCGAGCGACGATTTCAGCTACTGTGGTGGTGTTCTTATCTCTCGGTCTCATGTGCTAACGACGATGACGTGCACTTTAGAGGGAAATGCTAAATTCGTGTCAGTTGGTGCGATTTATATTAACGGTGGTGAAGACGGCGACGAGATTAAGGTCGTGAGCGTCACGAAACACCCGCACTTTAACAATGAAACGCTTTCGAACAACTTTGCCGTGTTAAAGCTGGCGAGAGAAGTAAAAGCTGATATTAAACCAGTGAAGCTTCCGACACCTGGTACTGAAATCCAACCTGGGAAGTGGGCGACGGCCCTGGGTTGGGGTCTTACCTCGGCTGACGGTATGGCCTCCGATGTGCTGCTCAAGCTGGATCAGCAGTTGATATCCAACGAGGATTGCCGCACCGTGTTTAACTCATCCACTTTTGATATGACCCACGTGTGCGCTGGTGGTGAGGCGGGTAAATCACCGTGCCAGGGAGACATTGGTGGTCCGCTGATCTACGAAAATTCCAAGGGAGACTGCGATGACGTTCTGATTGGTTTAATCAGCGGTGGCACTGACATCGGCTGCGGTACCGAGGGATACCCCGCTATCTACTCGCGTGTATCGTCGGTACATGAATGGATCACCACTACCATGAAGGCATAATGGGCACGGCTTACGTTATCTGAGCACGTATAGATACACAGAATGTCGAGGAAGTATGCGAAGATGTACCTTTTGAATCTTAAACAAAAAAAACGCACACATAGTTTGAAATGGCTGCACCTTGCCTAGTGTTACTTTTTGTAAGGATTGAATCCTCCTAGATTGCTACGTGTAATCGACCCCAGTCCTGTGTTTTTGGACGTAAACCCGAAGCTCTTAACCAGCTTGGGCAAGATCATCTCAATAAATGATTATCTTATTAAGATGGCGCTCCAATTGTTCGCTTGATACGGACGAGCGCGCTTTTTTCACATTCACCAGTTTCGATAACCATAAACTTATGAGCTGCTGCATCGCAAGCTTTACCGTCACTTTGTCATCACTAACGCACACGTTAAGTGAAACTTAAGCAATCGATCGAAGAGTTCTAGTCAAAAAAACCGTGCTCCACGTACACATCGCATAGACAAATCATACACCCCACAGTAGTTGTGGTGGGAATTCGACTGCAAACACCAGACTTTGTTTGTTGTCACGATCGGTTTTCGTTATCGATGAAGTTGGTCAAGGCAATCGTCTACTGACCCTACTTTTTCACACCCACCAACGGACAGATATGGTGTGAAACACCTACCAGGCAGAAACACGCTAAGATGATCGAATTTGAGACTGATATCCTTAAAGCGAAAGTGTCGTTCTGGAATGACCCCGAAAAAATTGTTCAATTCTTCCAATGGTGCCAAGGAACGTGCTACCACATACGTGACCAGATATGACGTCCATAGTTTCTTCCAACCCTCCACTTGGGACTCGAAGTGTCGATTATCTTGTTTAAGGGCAGCTGAAGAGAAGATAGTTCCGGAGACATTGCAGCACGTATTTATGTCGTTAATGGAATTTTACACTGCAAAATACAACAGGCGCGGTCGTTCTCGTCACCTTCATTGAAGAGCTCGATCGGGCACTTCTACACAGCCCGCTTATGATAATGCATCGGCCAATTATCCAGGAACGAGAAGGGCAACAACTCTGCCCCACTCGTTCGAACCGGTGTCGCTGTGGTAAACGATGTTGCAGCTATGCATGCATGCCTCACGGAGATCTCTCGACGGAGCCTAAAAGTAGCGTCCTGAGACAGTCAACGTCAACAATTACGGAGTTCATTAGTAGCTGGCCAACAGATTGTCGGTCGCGGACGATGTGTCTTGTACCAATGATATTTGGACATGTTAGAGAAAAGCAGCGGATCGCACGTTAGAAAAGATATGAGCACGATTAATGCAGAATACGAGACTGAACATGTGGTGACGTTCGGTGTAAGGCTATCGACATAGGAGGAAAGTGGATGTTGCCAATTTACTTCTTCTAGGTAGCAAAAGCTACGATTTATACATTTGGAAGAGCCAACAGACGGGTTGGCTTACAGAAGTCACAAAACCGGGTGCACGCCATCCTATTGTGTCTTTCATTAAATTCAAAAATATTTGAAAAAAGAGACTTAACAGCGTAGTACACAAGCTGACAGCAGTGAACGGCAGACTCCAATGTGGAATCAATTATGTAGAACAACTGCATTTGGGGGAGCAATCTAGCATCAAACACAATACGTGTGTTTCCTATTCCTTATGAACTACACTTATAGGAGTTCATAAGGAATGGGAGGTGACTTACCGCAAAATATAGGTCAAATAGGGTAACGGTAAACATCTGTTAAATTGGATCGCGAGCGAAAACTGGGGTGGTTGTGTAACGCTCTTTATCGCGGCAATTTCCTACGCAAATATATACGTCATTGTCGATAAGGCTGTCAGGCGATGACTGACAATACAGCCTTATCGACCGAGTTTTATCAATCGACACAGTAAAAAATAAACAAGACGGGTGAATACCTAGCTCTTACGGCAGCGAAATGTCGTCAACTAGTTGAACAGTACAAGCAAACGAAGATGAAAGATGCCTTAGTGATGCGCTACTGGTGATGGCATTTGTTCATCCGAGTAGCACATGGACAGTTCGTCTATGTAGAGCTGTGGCCAATAGAACTGTGAAGCGGACAATGGACGCATGAGCGATGTCAAGGACTAGCCGTTCTTTATCGGCTCAAATTAGCCATATATTGGATTTTCAAACAAACGAACCACGGCGATCCCCCTTATTCGCATCCACAGTACCGTTACTCTGACCCCGGTTTCGTAATTGGAACAAGTCATCCGTGCAGTCTATCAGCGACGCCAGTAGTGAACCAATAATTATCGAAACATAGTATCATCGAGCCATAGTATCATCGAGCCATAGTATCATCGGGCCATAGTATCATCGAGCCATAGTATCATCGAGCCATAGTATTACCAAGCGGTCGGTGGTCCGATTGCGGTATTCAGTGAGCCCCTGATATATGCTGTCCTTTAGCCAAGTAGCCGTATAGGTCATTAGTACCACGTCACTGAAGGCGTTAAGGAGTAGGGAGTAGGTGCATCTGTTGTAATACGCTCCTGAGGTGCCGCAGTTAAAACTAGTCGAAGCCGTTAAAAACAAGTTGAAGCAGTTAGAAACAAGTTAAAAGCAACTAGTATGTTCTACCAGGTATGGGGCGAGTTACTATGTTCTACCAGGTAAAGGACGAGTCAGCACAAAGGCATTTGTAGAGGAGCTGCAAAGCTCTTTAGCCAGAGGAAGACTTTAGGCTGAAAACCTTTTAGTTCTAGAGAACTAAATAAATTTACGGCTGAAAGCCACTTAGTTCTAAGGAACCAATTAAACGACTTAAAGTCACCCTGTTCTAAGGAACGAGGAAAGAGACTTTTAGTCTGTAAGCAATAAGCTTAAGGTTCAGAGAACCAACGCACAGAGTGCAAGAACAAGCTAGAAGCTTAAGGTTTCGAAAACCAACGCATGAAGTGCACAAAAGAACAAGTCAGAACGACTTGCGATCTTAAACTCAAAATGAGAACTGATTATATTTAGGCTTTAAGATTTTATGAATAGTCCTACTCTAAGTACCCTACACTAGATTAATTACTATAATAGTAATTATAATATGCAGACTTTGCTAGTGGACGGCTAAACATCTGTGTATGATGTACTTAGTACAGCGTTATCGATTTTATCGAATCCTAATCGGTAAGATACGGTATTACCGAATACCTTATCTTTAACGCTTATACTTAATACCTCTCTAAAAGAGAAGTATAATAATGCATTATATGCAATAGAAAGGAGAGTTTAAGCGTAAACTCTCGGAAAGATGTTACAACCGTCGTGGAACCCCGTTACACTCTCCCCCACCAGACTGACGTTCCCATAGAATGCCATTCGACATCCTTCCTCTTTGAGGTAGTGTTTTAGCGAACGTTTAAACCTTACGTTTTTTACGGCACAAAAAATGACGCCTCCTGACAATGAGTCACAGACTCTACGGGACCTCATTGAAGGCGACCTTGACGAAAGCAGTTGATTACAAAAGTGACACCGTCTTTGTGGGACCCGATGGGTACCCTTTAACCACCCTCACGGGTGAAGATGACACTAGTCATGCACCGAATCCGTTCCCTGAACGTGGTGCTGCAGATGCGCTAACAGCGTTACGTGACCCGCCTGACGTATCATCAACGGTAACGGTACCAACCCACTCGACGAGCAGCAACAGCAGACCATCGACCAAGAGGAAGGCGCCAAGCGCCGGACGAAGAATATGGCGAGACTTCAGGACCACCGACAGTTCAGGTTCGAGCCACCTACGGTGGAAGAACGCCTAAAGGAGGCATCTGGGCATTCCCTTTCTGGCTGGGCCATTGGGCCTGAGGCCATTTCACCCGAGGATGTTGCAACGCGAACGTCCCTTCAACAACGATACCTGGAACCCCATATTACTACGTAAAGCCAATACTTGGCACGCCTTAACAGGCAAGTGCGCGGTGCGCCAGTTCCTCCCATAAAGGGTGTTCCCATCCTTCTGTTCGCGGGAGAAACCGAGGACGAAGAAGACACGGCTTTTAGCCGCTGGGCGCATTATGCGCGACGCTTGAGCAACATGTGGGCCCTACGGGCAAGTGCCGATGTGGCAGATGTTCGACTCGAACAGAAAATGCGTTACGACCACGCTAAATTGAAGGCCCGGGAAAAATTGAAGTCTCAACGAACGCATTATGCGTCTGCTATCCAGCACCCCAATTTTTCGGCTACACCTGTAGCCGCAAATTCACGACAGGCCGAGGCCGATAACTCGCCTACCCCCACCACTACTGGTGAAAAGCGTCATCGCCAACAGGTTGGCCCTGCGCACGACGCTCAAAAACGTCCACGGCGTATGGGCAGTCCTGCCGAAGGGGAGTCTCAAACTCCCACGAGTTCCACGACTCGGGATAACCCCGCCACTTTACCAGATACTGGTTTTGACCATGGCGGCGACGCTTCTGTAGTAGACGCTCCACATGGAACTGAAGGTTCCCCTGCCCATCGAGCAAAGCCGGAGGAGGCCGGCGCATCGGCACAAGCTCATGCCGAGCTTGTTCAAGAGATGCGGTCCCTGCGTGAGGAGAGGCAGTCGATAAATTCCCTTCTTGATTCACTGGAAGAGAGCCGAACCCTAGTGCAGGGTCAGCTTGGCCTGTTAGTGCAGATGATTCGCCCCGCGACAATGCCGATGAACTCGGCGCAAGCGCCTTAGTGTCTATTTGGGACGGATCCCGATATGGTTTCAGCATGCCGATGTAGAACACAGGATGTGTACGCAATTTGCGCGCAAAATAAGCGTATACGCTGTGCCTTTCTTGGCAATGACCGTAAAGGGTCCGATAAAGCGCGGACGCAACTTCGTCTCAAAGACAGCAGATACTACATTGGTAGGTAGATTTTTAGCATTCAATAATACTTGGTCTCCGACCTCATAATCATTAATACAACTTCTTTCATTAGCATCCGCATATTCTTTTTGTTTGTCTTGGCTATCAGCCATTGCGTCTTGCACGTGTCGTAAGATGTTCAGTCGCAATTGCAGAAAC